AAAAAGCTAAAAGTCCAGTATGGACAATGCAAGGAGATCTTGTCTCTACAAAAAATTTAAAAACTCACTGAGTGAGCGGGTCTACAGTCCCAGCTAGTTGCCAGGCCAAGGTGGGAGGACCACGTGAGCCCAGAAGGTAGAGATCTGCAGCGCCACTGCAGGCTGGAGCCTGGATGACAGAGCAAGGCCCATCGCAAAAAGAAAAAAAAAAAACCTAAACTTAAGCTTTATTAATGTTTAATAAATGGATTTATGGTTAATGATATCATTTAAAAATAAACATACCTGGCTGGGCACAGTGGCTCACTCCTGTAATCCCAACACTGTGGGAGGCCAAGGCAGGTAGATCACAAGGTCAGGAGATCAAGACCATCCTGTCTAAAATGGTGAAACCCCATCTCTACTAAAAATACAAAAAATTAGCCGGGCATAGTGGCATGTGCCTGTAGTCCCAGCTACTCAGGAGGCTGAGGCAGGAGAACTGCTTGAACCTGGGAGGTAGAGGTTGCAGTGAGCTGAGATTGTACCACTGCACTCCAGCATGGGTGACAGAGTGAGACTCTGTCTCAGAAAAAATACACCCTTAGAATACATGCTCAAAAAATTGTTCTTGCTAGAATGGCTTGGTTGAAGACGTTTGGAGACGATGATCTAAAGCTTCGGGCTAAAATGGACAGTAGGCTGCGGAGCTGGCACAGACGGGATATAAGTGGGTGTTGATGCTGAGCAGGGGTAACTTAGATCACATCTGAAACTAAGTGAGGTCACTTGGGGCTGGCCAGGGGATTAAGCCAATTAACAGTGAACGAGGGACAGCCAGGCCAAGGGCGATGAACATTGTAATGAAATCACCAAGGGGAACCTTCAGTCCTGTGTGTGTGTACCGGGTCGTATTACTCAGCGTCATTAAGTGTCTCTGCCCTGCTAACTTGGGCATGGCCGAAGACTTGCTCTGGAGAGTAAGAAGACAATGAAGTGTGTGCAAGGTGCCACGTGCCACATAGGCTTGGCACCTTCCAAGCCAGTACTTGGGCCACCATTCTCTTTCTCTTGTCTCTCCCTCAATGACTCCAGACACAGGCTGTTCCATCAACCTGGTCTCAGCACGGAGAAGGCATGACACAGAGCCATGGAAGGTCCTCGGCTGTCATGGAGTGTGAATGGCAAGTAAATCTTTGCCGTCATCAACCACTGAGAGTCTGGGGCCATTCATTTCTGCAGCTAACCTGGCCTATGCTGCTGATGCCGCGTGTATTGTTTCCATAAACACAGAACTGATCATCAAACTATTTAATAACTACCATAGCATGAATATTGACGAGTTGCAACAAAAGCCAGCGGAGGCACTGCTATGTGACGAGTTATCCTTTAGTTATTGATCTTGGGGACAGGATCCCAGGGAAGGGGCTGCAGTCACTAGGATTGAGAGGCAGAGGGACCCAAAGGGCTCAGAGCAGCAGCCCTTTCACAGGGTCCACAGGTATTTCAGTACAACGGTGCCTGTGCTTCCCAGCCGAAGAGCAGATCTAAATACAGGCATTTCTTCATCTCTTTAGCATTTCTCAGCACAGGACTCTCACTTTAGATATGTGTCAGCCGGAGTTTCTTTTCCTTTACGACATTAAATACCTTAGCCATGAGCGTTTCAACAACATCCTCGTCCTCATCGTCTTCTACTAGTATGATTTTGACTCAGCATGATCTCACAGTACATCTCAGGGCCACTTCTTGGCACAGGGAAGAAAGGAAGAAATGGAATATTCAGAGGACTGGATTTGGACTATGAAGGGCTGCAGATGACAGACAACAGAACACCGCTGGATATTACTGATGTTATTTATTGATGTGACAGTTCATCGATTGCTAAGATTATTAGGCCCATACTTGCTAAATAAACGTATTGGCAGCTCTGGTCCCACACTCTGTAGTCAAGATATTTGCCTCAAGGAAAGAAAGGTGATTGCACCCAAACCTGCCAACCTATTACTAACCGCCAAATTGAAAAACAAAGCCGAGATTCACTCTACCGACTCGCTGCATAGACACTAAATGTTACTCTAAACTATGGCAGAATACCGAAGATTCATGAGCAGCTATGAGTCAAGATGGCTGAGCTCCAGTGCTTCTGATGGACGTCCATTCGTGGCAGATGGAAGGTGCTGGAAATGGCACCTGGTGAATTGCCAAATGTCTTAGCGATTTTAAATTCCTTAGTCCTACAGACTGTACATCAGTTGGGCAGAATACAATACCATATCACTGCATTTTTCCAAGCACTACAACATCACATAAGCCTAGAGAATTCAATCCCTACTATTTACAGAGATATCTATTAAAAAAATATATTCCAGCTGGACTCAGTGGCTCACGCCTGTAATCCCAGCACTTTGCGAGGCTGAAGCAGGCAGATCATGAGGTCAAGAGATCAAGACTTTCTTTGCCAACCTGGTGAAACCCAGTCTCTACTAAAAATATAGAAATCAGCTGGGTATGGTGACACATGCCTGTAATCTCACCTACTCAGGAGGCTGAGGCAGGAGAATCACTTGAACCCATAAGACAGAGGTTGCAGTGAGCCGAGATCGCACCAACTGTACTCTAGTCTGGTGACAGAGAGATACTCTGTCTCAAAAGAAAAAAAATTCCATAAAGACCACGTTTTAGTCAACTTTGTAGCCTGAGTTGTAGTCTGAGTCCCTTTGTGCTCAGAGCCTGACACAAAGGGAGTGCTCCATGTATGTGTGTTGAACCAGTGAACAAAGTTACGAAGATAAACAGACCAGCTCATCTGTTTATCGGCAGCCTCAAAATGCCACAAATATGATCATTTAGCAAATGTTCTTTGATAGTTAAAATTGGAGAGTGGCACCCAATGTATAAAAGCTAAAATCATGTAAACATTTTTAAAATGCACATTTGCATTTTTTTAATTGATTTATGTGCGGGCTGGTGATCTTCAGTTACAACAAGATCCATGCATTAATTATGCACCCTCCTAGCAGCCATTCAGGAAATTCATTTAAATTAGGAAGTTCCTAAAAGGTTGTGGGGAAAATTAAAAAGGTTGTCCCAAGCGTCATGCTCTTCCATTGCAGGCAGTCACTCAGATCTGGTTTATCCTCACTTTGCACATAATTCTGTGACACTTAGCGACTGAACTCCACGTTCACAACAACATAGCAGAAGAAAAAAGAATTAAGAGGTTCCTGATTGGCCTCTTCATTGATCCTGATTGGATCATGGTGGGGCCAAGAGCTTGGAACCAGGTAGGCAGAGAACACCCAAAACGAGATCTCGGGTGATGCTGGGAATGGCAGGAAGGCAAAGCAATGTTAGCATCAGAATCACCTGTAGACTGAGGCACAGGATTGAAACAAGACTGAAACACCAGAACAAGGGGGGGTGAAGCCAAGTAATAAGAAGGGAACTCAAAAGGCAGAGAAAGTTCAGAGTCCAAGGAGAGGAAGACCAGGTGTGAGAAAGCCCACCCAGCAAGTCTCCGTGCTCAGACCAAGCACCCAGGGCCAAGGAGCCTTGGGTCAGTCATGGCTCCACCCTCCCCTCGCCAACCCTGATTCCCCCAAAGAGACAGGTGGTTGCATCTTCCTCCACTCCCCAGTTCTCTCCATTTGGGTCTGAGGCAATGCTAACACCTGTGGGGGAAATGATTCATTAAATCAATTTTAGGCCCAGCATGGTGACTCACAGCTATAATCCTGGCACTTTGGGAGGCTGAGACTGGAGGATCCTTTTAGCCCAGGAGTTTAAGACCAGTCTGGGCAACACAGTGAGGCTCTATCTCTACAAGAGAAATATTTTAAAAAGTAGCTGGCTGTGGTGGCTATTGCCTGGAATCCCAGCTGCTCAGGAGACTAAGGCAGGAGAATACCTTGAGCCCAGGAGTTCAAGCTCTTAGTGGTCTTTGGATGACTAAACTTTAACACATCTTAGCTCAAAATATCTGATCACACCACTGCATTCCAGCCCAGGCAACAGAGTGAGACCCTGTCTCTAAATAAATAAATAAATACATTTTAATTGTGCAGCTATTATGTGCCAAGCACAATGTAAAAGGAAGGGGATACATTAGTAAATAAAACAGATCCTACCTGCATGGCACTTAATTTCTAAATGAAGACACACCATAAACAAGCAACCATAAATACATTTTTGCAAAGCGAGAGAAGTGCTATGAGGAAAATGTACAGGAAGCGGGGTGGACAATGAGGAGGCCAGCTACCTTAGATGCAGGGGTCACAGGAAGTCTCTCTGTAGGGGATTTTGAGCTAAGATATGTTAAAGTTTAGTCATCCAAAGATCGCTAAGATTAGTCTATAGTCTGACAACACAGGAACCACTGACTTAGGGCAAGGCAGAACGGGTAAGGGGAGAGAAGAGTCTTGGGGTGAGGTTCCTCTTGAAGGACATGATAGACCAACCAGGTTAGAGTCTGATGGTCAGAATCCAGGTGAGATATATCAATCTTTAACTAAGGTCCGGAGCATATGGGGTAGAAATAACAAGGGGTGCTGGTGGATTACATGTGGGATTTGAAGCTTAGTTCCACCAAGTCCCTGGGACCCTCGCAGTCAGCTCTTTCCTGGGAACGGAAACTGGGTTCCAGCAGCCTGAATTCAAGTGCATGATGAAACCAGAAAAAGCAAACGCCAAAATCAAAGCCCTGAGGCTGAGAATACCTGCACATAGGTGCATGTGCCCCAGATTTTCGCAGAGGGCAGTTTACCAGAACCCAGGGCAATTCCTAATTTCCGTAAAGAGCCCAGATATAAATCAAGTCTGGCTAGTTCATTGTGATTAAGGTAGTCAGGAAGTGTGCCACATTTTACAAAATTTTTCACCCCAAATGGTTTTACTTTAATGGTGCTTCAAGGAAAAAATTCTCGTTTACCTGGAAAACTTAACTCCCTAAAGGGAAGTTTCGTTCAATAGCTAAAGTATGCCAATCCCAGATCCCCAAGGGAACTACAACAATGTCTCACCGGGCGCAATGCCTTCGGCAGTCGCTTTCGAGTTCGTTGCCAGGTGTCCGAGCCCGTTTGAACGTCAGCGTCAATCCCCACAGTACAAACCAGAGGAGGGGCCGGGACCAGGCTTCCCCTCTCGGACGTGTGTTTTCTTTCTGTTGCTGAGGTTTAGGGAGTTGCCTGGCTACCCTCAAGGGTTCCTATGGAAACCACCACCTCCTAGAGGATGGGAGGAGAGGCCAATTCAGGGTCCACCCCGCGGGCCCCGCCCAGGCACGGGGTCCCTGCACTTGGCCGCCGCGCAGGGAAGGGCGCGGCCCGGGTGCTGGGCGTGGGCGGGGCTGGCGCGAGCGGAGAGGGGCGTGGCAGGCCTGGGGCGGGGCCTGAGTGCGCCTGCGCAGTCCGCGCCCCACTCAGGGAGGAGGAGGCAACGCGCGGGAGGAAAGATGGAAGACTATCAGGCTGCGGAGGAGGTAACCGCCGGGTCGGCGACGGAAGGGTGGAGGCCTAGAGCCCGGGGCGCGGAAGGACGCGCAGTCTTGACCAGAAAGCCCTGGCTGCCTCCCTCCCCCAGCTAGGCCGGTCTCGGTCGCCCACGGCCTGAGGTTCACGATCGCCGGCGTTCCGCCCAGCCCCAGCCAGCCCGGGTACTGCTGCCGTTTCCCCGGCACCGGGTGTGGGAAGGGGATTGAGTTCCTTCCTGCGCGGGGCGGCACCGGGCGTGACTCGGACAGAGCGCCCGGTTGAGCGGTGCGGAGACGCCTTCCCGTTGGGCCTCGCCCCCTGCCCGCTGCTGAGCTCACCGGGAGGATGACATCACCACCCCTTGCTCTGCGGGGCGGACCCCAGCCCCAGGCCCAAGCAGGGCGCGGCGGCCGGGCTAGGAGCGCCGAGGCCTGGACGTCTCCGCGCGGGGGTGCAGGTGACACGCTCGCCCCCAGCCCCTCCCCCCCGGACTGGCGTCCCGGCCACCCCGCGTCTTGTCTCGGGCCTCACCTGGTTCCGCAGCGCTGGGAATGAGTAGCATATTTCATTTCTGTTTGTCTGTAGTAAGAAAGCTCATTGTTGTGTGTGTGTGCGGGGGGCGACCGTCTCTTATTGCCTCCTTGAGGAAGTAGGATAAAGCCCACGATCTTGCCAAGCAGAAGACACCCGCCGGCACCGTGTGCGTTAAATGGCTTTCTTTCAAGCTCACGGTCATTTGGGAAATAGAGCTGATAGGTGCAGCTGAGATAGAACACTCATTTTCTTCTTACTGAATAATCCTCGTTGAAATTCAGAGTCCCATGTATTATACAACCTGTGAAAAATAAAAACTATAGATCCATTTGGTAAGATTGGACATTTTACCGTTTATGAAATTTAAGGAGGAATATTTTCAGGGAAAATACAACTCAGGCTTAAGCTTAAGGACTGATTGTAGATTCAGTTTTGATCTGATTTCCTCACTAACGTACACTTCCTGTGATGGTGGATAATCGGTGTTTGAATGCTGATGGGAACCAAGTGAATAATGACGAGAAGACCTGGTTCAGGAGCAGCTGGCAAAGGACAAACCTTTTCCCTTAAACTGTTGCAAATATTGGAAAATGGCTTGAATTGTAGTAATATCGAGTAAAAAAAACTGTTCTAAAGAAAGAAATGGCTATGTAAAGGGAAGCCCTTAATACTGCGGTCCGATTCTGGCTCCCACAGATGAGGTAGCTAAGTGACTTCATTATTCTAGATCTCAATTCCGTATGTATCAAATGAAGGGGCTGGACAGAGTGATCAGTGTTTCCTATGGAATGGAAGCTCTGGGAGGTGGAGGCCATGGCTGTTTAGTAGTAGGCATGCCTTAGGTGTTTACCCTTCTGGTCCTCCCACCAGCCTCTCTGCAGCCGTTTCTGCTTCTCTTCCAATTTCTTGTAGATTCCTGAGCCTTTATAACTATTCTCTCAACTCATCATTCATCTTTCTTGGAGAAGTGGAAACTGTTCACTGGATTCATTACAACGCTCTGCTTTCCACGAAACATTCTTTAAAATGTCCCCCAACCTTTTTCATATTTTAACCATATGAAATGAGATACAGCACCTTTCCTTTGTAATTAAGGTCACTATAATCACTTGGAAGGATCCTTTAGGCTTCCAGAAATGACCTATCTCTAAGATATTGCAAATTGTCATTCACTCAGTGAGTTGGTTTTGTTTCAGTCTGACTTCTAAGTACAGCAAGTGAGGTGGCTTTGGGCAATCAGCTCTTGACCCCCCTAAAAAGAAAGGGCAGGGCCTGCAGTGGACAACAGCCAGGCAGGGAGGAAGACTCACTGCCAAGTCAGGGTTTTCTGCCTTGATTCCCCCAAGATGCACATTGAGGGAGGGTCCCAGGGGCTGCCCTCTTGAAGGCATGTCCAGAGATATGTACCTTTCCTGTGACTCAGCAGTAACTTTAAAGGCCTATGCTCATGTGAAGAGCACATTGGCAGGCAAGTGCCTGACCAATGTTATTTTCAGGATGATCTTTCACCCATTCAGATCTGCCATGTGTAAAAGGGAAAGAAAGAAAACTATACTCTTGGCACTAGATTACTGCAGGCAGCCCATCTCCTGAGTCATCTGGACACTGATAGAGAACGGCCATGCTGGCAGCTGGTGGTTAGTCCTGGAGCAGGAGGGCGGCACTGGGAAAGAAAAATAATTATCTGGAAATAATACAATCATTGTAAATTTTACAACTAATGGTGCTTTAAAAAAATTTCCTCAAGGCCAGGCCTCCTAATCAGTTTACATCAGGGAAGAGAGAATTACATCTTAAATGGATTGCTTCAGCAGCTTCGGTTAATTTATACAAAAATCAAAACTCATTAAGCCTCTCTATTGGTTAATGATTCCAGCAGCCAGTTGAAATGGGAGATTGAATTCTAGTTTAAAGTGAAATCTTAGAATGTGACATGATTAAAATAAGATGGGCCGGGCACAGTGGTTCATGCCTATAATCCCAGCACCTTGGGAGGCCGAAGGAGGAGGATCACTGGAGGTCAGGAGTTCAAGACCAGCCTGGCCAACATGGTGACATCCCATTTCTACTAAAAATAGGAAAATTAGCCAGGTATGGTGGAGGGCACCTGTAACCTCAGCTACTTGGGAGGCTGAGGCAGGAGAATCGCTTGAACCTGAGAGGTGGAGGTTGTAGTGAGCTGAGATTGCGCCACTGCTACACTCCAGCCTGGGCTGCAGAGCAACACTTCATATCAAAAATAAATAAATAAAAATAAAACAGAACACCTTTCAATTATATGCATGTATTCTAGTCTTCTTGTTTCTGAAGACTTACAATGCCATCCATCCTTGGTAAAGCGAACAGTCTAGTTAGATTATTTCTAAGGTCTTCATTTCTAAATTATGTTCATTACCTAAATCTGCATTTACCAATGTAGTGGAAATATCTTTTAAATAAATCAAACTTAACCGAATGTTCTTTCTTACAGACTGCTTTTGTTGTGGATGAAGTGAGCAACATTGTAAAAGAGGTAAGAGGAGAAATACTCTCTTCTTCAATGCTTATAGCTTATATTAGAGAAAATGTGTTGTAAATACCATCTTGGAATTGTTTCAACCAAGTCTCTGTTTTGGTGTTTCGAATACCAGGTTTTATTTCAGTAAATAGCTGGATAGGAATTGCTCCTATATTAATGTAACTTATGTATTTAAAATCAGACAAGGATTTTATGCACATAGCATTATTACTGAATATCACCAAAACTTGATTTTATAACCTTCTAGCATAACAGACTCCTGGCATACTAACATCAAGCTGTTTCCAGGCTTGATGAAGAGTGAGTTTAAGAAAATTCAGCTTCTACTTACTCCAGACCTGGTGACCCAGTGTGGGACCTATTTGCTTACTTTTCTTACATTCCTCAACTTCACACTTTTTTATGTTATTGATCACGAGGAGGATGAGAGACAGAAGGGATGCTTGTTATTCATTCAGAAAGTAGACACAGAGGGAGCATGCAGGGCATAGACCTTCCTGCAGTTTACAGCTGTGGGGCAGGCAGGGCAGACACATCAAATAGTCCTGCTGTAAAATGTCCGCTTGCATTTGCTGTGTGGTAAGCGCCACTAGAGGTGGTGCTGTGAGAGCACTGAACGGGGAGTGTGACCCACCCAGGGAGTTGAGGGACTATTTAGAGCTGAAAGCTGAAGAATTAGAAGTAGGGGTAATGTGGCAAAAAGAGGGGACAAGACCTCATGGGAGATGGGGGCAGTGTACGGTGTGTGTGAGGGAGTGGAAGGAGGTGGGTATGGCTGGAGTGGTGCTGAGAGCTGGGGCCCTGGGGTAGGAATGAAGCCAGAGATTTTCCTCCTCAGTTTCCCTGCCTTCCCTGGGTAAGATGGGGCACAGACATTAAAGCCATTGGCTAAAAGAAAATTATAAGATGATCTGAATTTAATGATACTGTTTGGGGTTTCATATGTAATTTAGGATTTAATGTAAATGATTGACTAGTGTTCAACAGCCTGTGTTTGTGACCAGTATCCAAAGGCAGAATGATTTTACCATTTACATTGTTCACAATCGGGCATGACTTTCCTGTTGCTTTGCGGAATCTCCAAGTTTGCTTTTCATGGTTGTCTGAATAGTTTCACATGGATCACGTGAGGGACTAGGAAGGTGGGTGGATTAAACCAGAACTGGGAATGGTGGAGGTGGCTAGTTGGGAAGTCTAGTTCTGCCTCAGTTGTTTTCTGCCTTAGCTTTGACTTGGTTCCCAGGTGGCAAATGCAATTGAAAGTACACATTTCTGGCCAAGCACGGTGGCTCACGCCTGTATTCCCAGCACTTTTTGGGGCTGAGGCGGGCAGATCACCTGAGGTCAGGAGTTTGAGACCAGCCTGGCCAACATGGTGAACCCCGTCTCTACTAAAAATACAAAAAAATTAGCTGGGTGTGGTAGTGGGGGCCTGTAATCCCAGCGACTTGGGAGGCTGAGGCAAGAAAATTGCTTGAACCTGGGAGGGGGAGGTTGCAGTGAGCTGAGATCACACCATTGCACGCCAGCCTGGGCAACAAAAGTGAGACTTTGTCTCAAAAAAAAAAAAAAAGTACACATTTCCAATCCAATCCACATGGAAACAGGTGACATTCCAGTGTTACTTGAATTTGTATCACTGGCCTCAATAGCTTTTTTGCCTCCACAATAGGTAATTCTGTATTCAAGTTACCAAAGTATTGGGTAGTAGAGTCAATCTGCACAAATTCAAAATTGGTTCCCTCCTCCCTGAAAAACTGAATTTCAAAGTAGGTGTGGAGAGCTGGCAGAGGGAGAGGTTTGGCTTGAACAAAGCCCTCTCCCCCTTTGACAATGCCCAGGTCTAGTAATACTTCTGGCCCCCCAGACCCCTTGTAGCCTCTGAGCTGAGAGGGAGCACAGTGGCAGAGGACAAGAAGCCTGTGAGTAACATGACTGCTCAGAGTCCCTGGGAGACCATAGGCAATCTGTAGATAGAAAGCAGAGTGTGACCTAGGGAGGTTTTAGGTCCTCAAAAGCAGGGTCACTGGATCCAAGCCCCAGGCATCAGATCCCCGTCTGTCGCCACCATGCAAAGCTCAAGACCCCAGACTGCTGGTATTCTCTGCCTGTCTGAGGACAGACCTTGGCCCTCACTGAATGCTTTTATTTTCACTTTAGCTCATAACTGTCATAGAAATTCAGGTTCCTGGTTTCCAGCACAGCCAAGTTAGGGCTAAAGAAGGCTGCTGAGATGCAAGCTCGCTGGCATCCAAGTGAAAGGAGACCAACAGTGAAAGACCCAGAAACTCACACGATGGCAGTATCATAACAATACGCTTAGCAAGAGCAGAGAGAACCCCAAAGAATATAGCACAGAAAAAGAAGTAAACGTATAATAAAGGAAAAACTGGGGCTGAATGCTGGGGCTTATGCCTGTAATCCCAGCACTTTAGGAGGCTGAGGCAGGAGGATCACTTGAGCCCAGGCATTTGAGAGCAGCCTGCGCAACACAGTAAGACCCCATCTCTACAAAAACTAGCTAGGCGTGGTGGCACATGTCTGCAGTCCCAGCTACTGGGGAAGCTGACATGGGAGGATTGCTTGAGCCCAGGGGGTCAAGGCTGCAGTAAGCCAGGACTGCATCACTGCCCTCCAGCCTGGGCAACGGGAGACCCTGCCTCAGAACAAACCTAAAGTAAGTTCTAGAATATCAAGAGCTTTTCTTTAGTTATCTGAAAAATGCACTTAACGTGACAACATATTCCCAGACAATGCTGGATAAAAGTATTTTTTAATAGATGATTATTTGGATAGGTTTATATATTATCAGTTGTACAAAGAATACAATTCATCTAAAATACAGTATTAGTATGTTAAGTAGTATTAGATAAATAACACTTTTAAAAAAGGAATAGGTAAAATACTTTCTAGCCTCAACAAGAAAACAATGTTATTTATCTATAAATATTAGTAAGTGAATATTAAATGCAATTATGTCAAAATGTATAATTTGACAGACTGAATTTTTAAAGCAACTATCAAACTTACTTAAATGAAATGAAATGCTATTAAACAAAGTGTATTTGCAGAGGCATCCTCATGATTAAAAATAAACTTCAGAAATCACTTCTGGGGGTGGCAACTGTCAGTTCCTAACTGAAAGGTGGTGTGGGTGCTTCTGCGTTAACTGTGACACACTTTTGCTTTGTTTTCTAGGCTATAGAAAGCGCAATTGGTGGTAACGCTTATCAACACAGCAAAGTGAACCAATGGACCACAAATGTAGTAGAACAAACTTTAAGCCAACTCACCAAGCTGGGAAAACCATTTAAATACATTGGTAATGGATTTTTGTTTCTTGTATATTCGGGGGATAGTTCTTTAACACCAATCAGAGGTGTGTCCAGTACCAGACAACGTGGCCTCCCCTCAGGGAAGGCTCCCGGTGGGAGTCGTTAGCACATTTGACAGCCTGGCTGCTGGTACAGTTGCAGGGCGTATGTGAAGCAGGATCTTACAGGAGGCCCCATCAGGTGCTTTTAGAAGAGGTGAAGCATAGAGGAAGTGTGTACAGACAGCCACCCACTTGCAGTGGTTCAACTGAGGATTTTTTGACTTTATGATGGAATTACCAGGGTATTAAGTGTATTTGCAACTTACATTTTCATTTATTGTCGATTTATGATGGGTTTATGGGACACTGTAAGTTAAGGAGCACCTGTAATTTGTCAATATAGTGAAAGGCGGCGATCTGTCCCTTTAGTTTTATCGGAAACATCAACCATGCGGAGCTATGTACATTTGCTAAAAGTGGACAAAATGACATTTATGTTACCAAGTAGATTTCTCTAATAAAAGTTTGTTTTAACTCAAGTGACCTGTGTAATTATGCAGAAGAATGGCGCGGGATTACACACAGCAAGTTCCTGCTTCTGGGACAGCTCCACTGACGGTATGATCTTCATTCATGTTAGAGAAGTTTTGTGTGCATTTTCTCTGAAAGTTTTCAAGTAACTTCTTGGATCATTCTGATATATATTATTTGAAGGCAGTGTTTTGATTGGATGTTTCGTATCTTTGAATGCAATGCATGTTTAGCACCTTTTAAAACATTTCACGATAGACTTGCATAGCATAGAGATAGGTACTTGACTGTTGGCCTTATTGTGAGTAGAACATCATGTCCGCCTGCTTTCCTTGTCTGAGATGCTACTCTGTCCTCCCGCAGGGAGCTGCACCGTGCGATGGGAGAATAAGACCATGTACTGCATCGTCAGCGCCTTCGGACTGTCTATTTGACCTGCAGTCCAGCCTATGACCTTTCTCCTTTGTCTCTAGTTCATCCTCTAAACACCAGCCATGAATTCAGTGAACTCTTTTCTCGTTCTCTTTAAGTGTGTTTTGTGGCACTCTCAAAATGTAGAGAAAAAAAAACCAAATGACCACACTGTGACGTGAACCGCACCGAAGTCAGATGAGTCTCCCTGCAGGTCACCGGCAGCCTGTGTTGCCACTTGTCTTAACTCTGAATATTTCTTTTCAAAGGTGCTAAAATCTGAAATCTGCTAGTGTGAAACTTGCTTTACTCTCTGAAATGATTCAAATACACTAATTTTCCATACTTTATACTTTTGTTAGAATAAATTATCCAAATCTAAAGTCTGTTGGGTTCTTCATAGTCTATGGCATAGTATCATAAATGATTTCCTGGAATTTAATGAGTGGCTTCAGAATACATAAAACTAAAAAAAAGAAGTTGCAGTTCTGCTGTTGTCCTCTCCATGACGTACTCATTTCACCCATGGGACCAGGATCGTGAAGGCTCTGTTGGGTTCTGGTTAGATTCCATCCCTGGGCTTCAAAGGCACCCTTCTTTAGCCCTCTTCTTTTCACGGTTAAGGGGTGGGAGGTGGGCAAGCCAGTTTCTATTCTCTTAGCCAGAGAGCTCTAACTCACACTTGGCCCAAAGCTGTAACACCATAACTATTAATCCCATCTTCTCTGGAGCACTCACAGACTGTTTTAGTACTTCATAGCTTACAAAATGGCTTTCACAATCATTTTGTGTCCTCAACAATCTGCAGCCATTTAAAAATCAGAAAATGTGTTTGTTTGGAAGTTATCTGATGGGTTTAAAGCCACACATCCAAGTAGGTAGGGAGATGGGCCCAAACCCAGGACTCATTTCCATCTTCAGTGCTCTTCCTCAGGCCAAGTTAGACATCGCAATAAAAACACCTCCGTCTCGGCTTGCTGAAATGGAAAAGCTCTGCCATTGGGCTCCAAAGCTGCTTTATTAAAGCATTTATGTCTGCAAGGCCAAATTAACTCCACACACAAAAAGCAAGTAAGACAGAGAAGTGAATACTAAAAATTTATTAACATTTAGCAGAAGGGTAGTGTCAGAATTAAGCCATTCGCAAAACATGAACTTAGCATAAACATTCATTCATTTTTGCCTGATGACAGCAACAACTGTGATGGGGTGGCACTGTGCTCCACAGACAGTCCGCACCCGCGCACATGGCCCTACCTCTCCTTCCACACCCGCGCACATGGCCCAACCTCTCCTTCCACACCCTCGCACACGGCCCTACCCCTCCTTCCGCAACCCAACATACAGCTCTACCTCTCCCTTTGGGCTTAAGGTTTAGTGTTCTTTTTACAAATATTTACAGTCATTTTGTAAAAAAAGGCAGTTTTAAGTAGCAGAAAATTCTTCTGTTTCATAGTATGGTTACCAGCGTATCTCCAATGTCAAACCAAGATAAACAGCATCACAAGATGTCACAGACAAACACAACTTCCCTTCGGCCAGGGGAAAAGATTTGTATCTTTTTTTTTCCACCCCAAAAGTCCAACCTCTAAGGCAAATGGTTTCTAAAATGCTCAAAATACACAAATACACTTTCACGTTTTAAGTCTCCTCTTCACTAAGCGTTCAGAGAGACATCCCTTTTGTGAGGATCTGTTTTTCCTATGGTAAAGGATTCAGGAAATAATTTACCACATTATAACCTATTTAACACAACTACCCTCAGTAAATAGTTCATAAAATACTTGACGCTGGTGACATCTGTCTTGTGACCTCCCCATTTAGTGGGTTGGGTTTACATAATGCATCTAGGCTTTGACTGCAATCTGCAATTATGTACAGTAACAGCCTTCCCTTGAATATCACACATCTCCCCTTCTCTAGCCTTTCAAATGGGGCTTGAGAGAGAGAAAAATGGCACCACATCACTGCTGTAATGATTCAATAATAAATCAAGCAGACTGATTATCCACATGGATAACGAAGCTCTCCCTAGGGAAACTGAAATACCTCTGGTCATCTTCCAGTTCCCCTAGACTGAACCAGTATTAAAAAATCCCAGAGATGATGTTATTCACACCATTACCATGAAAAAACGAAAGTCAGCCCTTTCAGTTTGGAAAACTCTCCTTGCAGAAGACAATTTACTTGCTACTGTCAAAAGTTCTGGCAGACTTTAGTGTTTCAGCCCAATACTTAGGGCACATATTCTACATGCCAATTGCTATAGAGTTTAAGCAAAATTTTACACGGGGTACATAATATGTTAATATTTGTGATATACCAGGGAAAACAAGTTGAAAATACATGACTTAAACATTTTCCCGTTAAGTACTTTCTTTTTTCTTATTTCCAACTTAGTTACACAAAGTAAATAAATAATCCCATGAAGACTCAATGTATAAAGATAATAGTCATCGGCTTATAATTACAGTATAGGACAAAGGTAAGTTTTAAAATGTTCTAGTGTGTGTATGGCTAAATGCCTCAAATATTTTATATTTACTGATAAATAACAGCATTCCAAATCATGGATGATTATTTTATAATGATTAAAAGTTGTAAACTGTATCACAGAATATGTTAATCAGCACAAGTCTTCATTAGTTTACATAAAATTATAGTTACAGTAGTCAGAAGTTGTAAAATTTGGTAACATTTTTTTTTCAAACAAAAAGTCATCACATCATTGCAAATTTAAAAATCATGTAAACTTGAGTTACCCTTGCAATAACACTTGTCTTAAATATTCATATTTACAAGGTTTTTTAAAGAAATGTGAATGGACTCCATATTAAAAGTATCACTGAAGTTTAAATTAAAAGGAAAGATACAGAGTCATGACAAACAGTCTCTCAAGAAGATCTCTAAGATCCTAGCACTATTTAATGTGAATGATAATTTGAAGCTCTGCATGGTAATATGAGTCAGTGCATAGATGAAGGAAAAAATTGGGTACTGCTTGCATTTCGGAACTATCATCCTCTGGACCTCAGTTTGCCAAGACAGCATCAGTCAGCTTGCCCACAGTTACCGGATGTTCACAGAGGTGTGGCTGTAGAGGGCAAGGGGAAAGCAAGGGAGATGTCCGCACGAGACTTCCGTATGGAGACCTTGACTAAAAGGGGAAGCTCCAGGGCCTCGTATGATGCCACAGATTCAGGGGTGCCAAGGACTTCATGGAGGAGGTTGTCCCGACCTGACCGCTGTGTGATTCATGGAGGACAGGGAACCCCTTCTGCACAAGCTGCCTTCTACCCAACTAGGTTTCCCATGCACCATTTAAAACATTTTTCTTTTTGCTTCAAAATAGGAATTTTAAACACTTTTGCCAATAAAGAATCTAAAAATACCAGATATAGGTGATGGGGAGGAAGGCAGCAAATCACACTGCCATGTGTGTACCTATGCAACAATCTTGCATGTTCTTCACATGTACCCCAAAACCTAAAATGCAATAAAAAAAATTTTATCAATCTTTCATTGAGCTTTATTTTCAGATAGGTTCTTGCTCTGACACCCAGGCTGGAGTGCAGAAGCACAGTCATGGCTCACTGCAGCCTCAACCTCTAGGGCTCAAGCAGTTTTCCCACCTCACCCTCCTGAGTAGCTGGGACTACACAGGCATGACATGCCCAGCTATTTTTTTTTTTTTTTTGTACCGATGGGGTCTCCCTATGTTGCCCAGCCTGGTCTCGAACTCCTGGGCTCAAGTTATCCTCCCACCATTCCCTCCCAAAGTGCTGGGATTACAGGTGTGAGCCAATGCTCCTGGGCTTTCATTTAGCTTTAATTAAAAAAAAAAACAAAAACACAAAACTCTGTGGCATTTCATATTCAACAGAACTGCAGAAACTGCTATTTATTAGAATAGTTAAGGGTTTCTCTCCTGCCCACACCAGCCACAGGGACATAGGACATAATTCACAGTCATGTGTGTGCACACAGGCCCCTGAAAAGCACCATGGCAATAAGACCTTATCCACGGGAGTTGGTAACCCGCAAATTATCTCAGCCTTTCCTTATTCAGCTTATCAAGCCCTCCCCAGAACTCCACACTATTATTTCCCCTGTGGTGATGTAAAGGGTTGGAACCCAGGCATCCTCCATTCCCGAGGAGTCGTAACTCACACATTGCCCAAAACGCAGTCTACATAAGTGACCCATCACTTCAGCCACTTGGTTCCAGCCGCTCAACGAGGAAGGACTGCCCTGAAGCAGCCACAGAAAAGGCTTTCTTTGAGTTGAAAGAGTCAAAAACTACCATAGAGAAGGGAAGCAGGCGGGTAATGCTGTCATGCTGTGGACCTAGTCGCAGGGCTGCCCATGAACCTGGAATCAGTGAATGATTTAAAAAAAAAAAAAGTGTAATTCACTCCACTAAAAATGGGTAATTTCCTCCTCATCACGGAACACATGCACTCTCATCTGAAATCTTTGTAAAAAGGATTTGGCTGTTGAAACTTTTTATCAGCGCCTCTCTTCTCACAGCTATCATTACGATAAATTTAGCTAAACATTTAAATTTGCCTTCAGTTTTGGTTTTCCGTTAAAAAAAATGTAAACAAGTAAGAAATAGGAAATCTCTGCTGAAGAAAAGTCAAATGGGACGGTCGGGAAATGGTCACCAGGGAAAGCATCCAGGCACCTTGTCACCTCACTGGCCTGGAAGGGGCTCAGTCACTGTCTGACTCTTCCTTGTACTTGGCCCGGATGGCCTGGCCGTTCTGCAGGGGCATTTCTTCATAGTCACTCCTGTTAGCAAAGAGAACTTTGAGACCGTCTGACTTCTGACAGCTCTTTATTTTCTTCTTCCGCACTGACACGCCATTCCAGCAGGAACTCGCTCATACCTTCACTCTCTCAATCTTCCATCACCAGCTGCTACTGCTCACCCCGTCCTCCTCACCCCACCCCCAGGGCCCATCAGTCCAGAAAGCAGAGTTCTTCCTGTGGCCACCACGCCCCACAGGTATCCAAAAGAAAGGAATACCACCACATCTAAGCCCAAATACGGGGAAAACAGAAAACCATGAGCCATAGGACACTCCCAGGTAAATGCTTTAATCCCTTGAAAATAATTTTAGAATAGTAGCCCATTCAAGTAAGCATGCAAGGCCACACTGGGATGCCCAAGGTGCGCCAGCCTTCTAAGGGACAGGGACTTACCCATAAATCACATCGTCATCGGAGTCATTGAGCATGGAGAAGGCAGGGTTGTCTTTCAGCTGTGACTCTGAAAACCAACAAGAGCATTTTCATCTCCAGCCACTGACTCGATTAGCCTGGACAGGCAGGACACTGTCCTCGACAAAGGACGGGAGTTGGAAAAGGCTGGACTCTAATCGAAGATGCTGCCACGTCTGTACGAACCTCAACAAATCTCATGAGGCTATTTTCTCATCTACAGGATGGGGATGGGTTGGCCTGCCTGGCATGGACATCTTGAAGGCTGAGGGAGGCAGCCTGTGGGAAGGAGCAGGCAGGCCTGCTAGTGCCCATGCATGAGCTGTCCCTGTTGACATGGGCAGTGGGGAGCAGAAAACAGGCCCCAGGAGACCTGGCTCTGCCATGCCTGCCCCACCCGGTCTTTGGACGTGCAACGAGCTGCTGCTTCTGAATGCCTTCTTGTGTAAAATGGGCACAATTACATGTTTGTCATAAAGTTATTGTGAAGCTTAAGTGAGATGCTGTTCGTGAAGGAGCGCGGAAAGTGGCAGAGCACGGGAAGCTGTCTCGGGTGGGGCAGGCCTGCCTGTGATTTAGAGGGCTACCATCCGTTTCATTCCCTGTGCAAGAGGGTTGTTTTGGTTTCATTTCCGGGTGACTGTTTTTGTATGTTTTGGCTTTTTTTGAATGGTAACAACACTACTACAGATGGTCCCTGACTTACAATGGGGTTATGTCCTGATAAATCCATTGTTAAATTGAAAACATCATTAAAATGCATTGACTGTACCTAACGCACTGAACATCATGGCTTAGCCTATTCTGCCTTAAATGCTATTACATTAGCCTACAGTTGAGCAAAATTATTTAATGCAAAGCCTTTTTTTTTTTTTTTTTTTAGCCACAGCGTCTCATTCTGTCACCAAGGCTGGCATGCAGTGGCGTGCTCATAGTTCACTGAAGCTTCACCTCCTGGGCTCAAGTGATCATCCCTCTTCGGCCAACCGAGTAGCTGGGACTACAGGAACATGCCACCACAGCTGGCTAATTTTTAAATGTTTTCTAGAGACGGGGTCTCTATTTTGTTCCCCAGGCTGGTTTCAACCTCCCAGCCTCAAACAATCCTCCCACCTTGGCCTCCCAAAGTGCTAGAATCAAAACCTATTTTGTAATAAAACTTTGGACCATCTCATGAATTTATTGAATGCTGTACTGAAACTGAAAAACAGAATTGTTCAATTCCTCCCGAATATGAATTGCTTTTGCACCATTGTAAAGTCAAAAAAAATCCCAAACTGAACAGCATAAGCTGAGAACTGTCTGTAGATGACAGACTTGACTTCGTAAGGCTGATGGACCTGTGGCTATGCTAGGGCACGCTAACAAAGTGAGTTTATCGACTCTGCGTGGGAATGCCCCGACACAGGCTCCATGTGTGCTGGGCCCCAACTCGTCTCAGAGCTCAGCATTTAAACTCACTGTCTCTCTGCCAAGAGAAACCACTGGGAATCATGGTGCCCACATGAATGGGAAAACCAAGAAGTGGGTCATGGTGAACACAGGCTTCTGTGCCTGCAGCCTGGCCAGCAGCCCAGACCCAGGGTGGCTTACCATAGAGGGCATTCTTCGACGGAGAATACACAAAGGCCAAGGTGTAGAGATAAAAGTTCAGCAAGCCGTAGAAAGATAAGAACTCGGCTGGTGGTGCTGTCAAGGGGAGGAACAGAGCATCTGGACACCTCAGTCAGTGGCTCTGCAGCACCCTAACCACCTCCCACCATCAGCAGCCCCTTCTAGTGCTAAGTACCAGCTAGTGCCTAGGGGCCATAACCCAGACGTCAGGACCCACGGTTCACGCCCACAGCCAGGGTCACAAGGACTCTCCAAGGTCACAGTAAATAACAGGTGAACTGTGGCCTCTCACGTCAGTGGAAACCTGGACCCACTGAGCCATCTGGTGGCAATCCTGTCACCACACAGAGAGCAGGGCCAGAAAAGAGGAAGTTACACAAAAAGGGCAGAGGCCGTGGGCACACGGTGAATCGGGTATTTAGACAATAATGAAATAAAGAATTGGGAACAAACTCTCAAACCAGTTGTTCTGAACATTTTCTGGATTACAGCCCCCTAAGAAAATCTGATAAAAGCTTAGCATAAAATTCAGTCACAAAAATCTGAAAAACTGTATTAATTCATACATTAATTGGAACATAAGAAGTCCCAAAGAAAGAACCCAAGATTTAAAGGATTAACTCCTGAAATGTCCCCATCAAGGGGGAGTGGAAAGCACACACATAAGGCTCTTGGACCACTGGGCCAGGGCAGGGCTCCCCAGAGGCCACAGACCTGCACCACTGGCCTCGGGCACAGCAGGAATCGAAGGGAGTCCCAGGATTTTATGAGCCCTTCCCTGCAGACACAGCCTTAGCCTGCCACAACTATTATGCCCCTGGATACATCTCAGTGATGGTGAGAGAGACACCCCCAGCAGAAGCTCGCAGCAGCCCTCGGTCACCCCACAGTGCTCTGCTGGAGGGCAGTGGGGGCTTGGATCCCCGTGGTGTGGAGGGGTGACTGCATTGCACTTAGCACATGGTGCCCGCCCTCTGGGTGGAAAGCAGGGTGGCATGGGCACGCTCCAGAGCACCAGACCCCCTGGGTTTGGAGCCGGGCTCTGCTACCCGAAAACTGATCTGGGGGAACTGCTGAGCCCTCAGGCCCAAGCTTCTTGTCTACAGAGGAGGGACAAGGCCACCCATTCCCGAGGCTGCAGCAGGGCCAACGGAGACGTCTCTAAGCAGCGATGAGGCCTCCAGGGAACAGGACTCGAGGAGCTGATCCGTCTCCTCTTAAGAGGGGCAACCTGAGCCACCAACCGCTGCAACACTAAGCAGCCCTCCCGCAGCCGGGGCCTCCAGTTAAAAGGATATAATTCTGGTAGTGAGTGGACAGCTCTGCTACAAAATTGTCTTGTAGTACTTGCGCTCCAAATCGCAAATAAAGGATGACGATGCTAAAAAAGAGCAGCAGAGATAGTATGTGACCACGCCTAAAAACAGCACTAGCCTCAGAGAAAGACTCCATTCACCCCATTCAGCCTTTTGCTCTGTACACTACGATTTCTGCATGGGAACCTCCACACACATGCACAGACGCACACACACATGGGCACAGAGCCCCTACCTCTGGTTTCTGGTCTCGGATCTAGGCAGGCTAGACACACACACACACACGGGCACAGAGCCCCTGACTCTGGTTTCTGGTCTCGGATCTAGGCAGGCTAGACCCACCAGCTGGCTGCAGAGATCAGACGAACTCTGCTGGGACCCCGTCACTCTCTCCACTCGGGGCCTTGAAGCCCCTCATCACATTCTCCTCCCTGCTGCAATTCAGGTTTTCGAGACTGTCTCCTGTGACAAAGCACCCCTCGCCTAAGGGAAGCCACACCTCCCCAGTCAGTCGCAGTGATTTCCACAGCGACTAAGGCAACGCACCTTTAGTTCAGACTCCCACCCAGTGACAGATGACAATGGAGGCCTCGGGTAACACAGGTCACAGACTCCTTCCCCCTCACCTCCCACGTCCCACCCTCAGCCAGTTTCATTAACATGTGCACAAGACCCTCCACCACCCAGCTCAAGCCCCTCTGGCGGCCCCTCTGGCAGAACGAAAGCTGGACCTGAGAGCCCGCTCCATCTCCCACCACACCTTCGCCTGCTCGCCTCCCACCATGCTGCTGCCCCTGCATCTTGCCACAATGATGCCCACCCAGGCTGCCAGTGCCTGTTCTGCAGCCTGGAGCAGCCACCCACAGCTTTCGGGGCTCCTCCTCAGGTTCCCAGCCAAATGTCACCTCCCCAAGAGACACATCCCCAAACCACTCATCTATGGCGGACCCCTCCCCTCCACAAATCACGTCTCCATTTTGTTTGCGGTATGGCACGCAGGCAGTGTCTTTATTTGTTTGCCACTTGTCTCCCTCTGTGGGAACATAAATCCCAGGGCAGGCAATCGGTCACTATTTGTAGGATAAATGCATTCCCCTAACACTCCTGTGAAGAGAGCACGCGGCAGAGCAAGTTCTGAGACAGAGACCACCAATGGGAGATAGCAGCTCCCAACTCGGGGACTAGCTACTTTGAGGGTGAGGATATGAGACTGAGGATGTGAGAGTGTGAGGGTGAGCGTGAGGGCGTAAGAATGAGGGTAAGTGAGGGTGTGAGAGGATGAGTGAGGGTGTGTGAGGGTGTGAGGGTGCGGATGTGTGAGGGTGAAGGGGTGAGGATGAGGGTGTGTGAGGGTGTGGATGTGTGAGGGTGAGGATGGGTGAGGGTGAGGGTGTGTGAGGGTAAGGGTGAGTGTGAGGGTGCGGATGTGTGAGGGTGAAGGGGTGAGGATGAGGGTGTGTGAGGGTGTGGATGTGTGAGGGTGAGGATGGGTGAGGGTGTGTGAGGGTAAGGGTGAGTGTGAGGGTAAGGGTGTGAGGGTGAGGGTGTGAGGAGTGTGAGGGTGTGAGCGTGATGGTGTGTATGATGGTGTGTGAGGAGGTGTGATGAGGGTGTGTGAGGGTGTGTGATATGTGAGGGTGTGAGGGTGAGGGTGAAGGGGGTGTGAGGGTGTGATCATGAGGGGGTGTGAGGGTATGATGGTGTGTGAGGATGTGAGGGTGTGGTGTGTGGGTGTGAGCGTGAGGGTGTGAGAGGGTGTGTGAGGGTGTGTGAGAAAGGTTATGAGGGAGTCAGTTGAGTGAAGCATGAAAGAGGTTGTGTGAGTGAGCCTGTATGTGAGGCTGTGAGGGTGCATGACAGCGTCCGAGACGTCACAGAGACGCAGGGCACAGTTAGCACTGAACAGAGCCTAACAGTTAAAACACACATGCTGCATCATTCTCAGTAAATTCTGATGCTGAAAGAAATCTGAGTCCAAGTCTGAGCTGAGCTCCCACTCCGAGAGGAGGTGGGCGGCCTTGGATGCCTGTCTCAGTCCTCATTCTCCACAAGGTGGGGACCCCCAGAGCCCACCTGAAAAGCTTGGACAAGGGCCGACCTCCCAGAGGCCCCTTGTCACTCCCATAAAGGAAAAGGGCCGACATCCACTTAATTGGCATCCAAACTACCCAGAAAGGAAGGAGCAGCTACATTTTCCCTCCTCTGGATGCTGATTTTTTTTTTTTTTTTTTTTTTTTTTTTGAGATGGAGTTTCGCTCTTGTTACCCAGGCTGGAGTGCAATGGCACGATCTCAGCTCACGGCAACCTCCGCCTCCTGGGTTCAGGAAATTCTCCTGCCTCAGCCTCCTGAGTAGCTGGGATTACAGGCACGCGCCACCATACCCAGCTAATTTTTTATATATTTTTTAGTAGAGACGGGGTTTCACCATGTTGACCAGGATGGTCTCGATCTCCTGACCTCGTGATCCACCCGCCTCGGCCTCCCAAAGTGCTGGGATTACAGGCTTGAGCCACCGCGCCCGGCCTCTGGATGCTGATTTTAGGAGAAAGAGACAAACCATAAACAACACACCATGAATCTGGAATCTATTCAAAGAAAACAACTTCCCAGCCCTCTCTGTTCCTCTACCAACAGGGAGGTCTGGGGTGCTCAGGCCAAGCCAAACCTGCCCTGGGAGCCCTTGGGCTGACCCCACTCCCTGACACAACAGGACCCAGCCCACCTCGCCTGGTATAGACCCCTGACGGCGCCAAGGGAGCATGCTGCTCAGGTGTCTGCTGTCCTAACTCGCGCTTAAGAGTCCTATCCTTGGGGAACCACAAGGATCCCCAGGTCTCCAGTGTCCTCACATCCATCGTGTAGAATTCCAACCATCCAGCTGGCGACTGCATGCGGCACATATGGTAGGTGGCACAGCAAGGACGGAACACGCCCCACGCAGGCCGAGTGTGCGCGAGTCACCGCGCTCCAGTCCCCACCACTTAAAACAAAAACATACTCTCCAGGCTGGTGTCCACTCTCGCTGCCCACCCCTGGTGGGAGGCCCTCTAACCTCATGAGTCTACTGGGCTAGAAGGACCCTGAAATCTACTCCACAACAGGAACAAATACCCCTCACAGTAAAAGAAAAATTCCGTTTTGCTCTTTTGAAGAAATGAGTCTTCTTACCTAATGACAAGTACTACAAAGGTCAATGCGGTCAAGAATTTTAACCTGAGATCTGAAAAACAAAGACACTCATTAACGACCCTGCTGCAAGCACATTCTACTCCCATCTCATTTTGTTTTGAAAAAATTTTTTTAAAAATGAAGCAAAGCTCTTTGTACAAATGCTCCTCCCCACCCAGACTTGACCAGAGTCACCTGCGGCACAGGAGAAAGTTGGTCCCTTCCCAGGGCCAGGGTGGTGTCCACAGAGGCCACAGCCACCATCCTCTGAAGGGACAGACTCGGAGAAGGATCCCACAAGCTCAGGGTGACTCTCCCTGCTCTGCAGGGTGCAGTCCCACAGGACCCAGGCCACTCTGATGGTCCCAAAGGCTAGAGTAACCTGTTAGGCCTGTTGTGGCCTCCCGGGACCACGTGCCCTGGTCCCCAGCCTGTGGGGATGGACCAGTCCCTGGGCCCTCAGGGAAGGCCCCTGGCTTGGGAGACTCCAACCACTGCTTCCCCCACCTGAGTCACTCCCGAGCCACCCCTGCATTGAGTGATTCTGAGAGGGACACTTACCCACATAAGGCATGTGCCGTAGCTCAGAACATGCCCGCACTACCAAAAACAAGAGGTACAGGACGTACATCGCCGCCACCACCATGAAGAAGACCTTCATTCCCTAGAAGGAAGCAAGGCGGCACGAGTCAGAAAAGGATCTCTGACCTTCTCCTCCCGGCGCCGCCACAGCCAGGAAAGCCACAGGTTTTTAGAAGGGACTTATATCCTGAAGGACCCTCCAGGAAGCAGAACAATGGGGTCCCATTGGGACGATCTGCTCAGTCCCCCTGTGAGTACAGGCATCTCCCCCGAGATGATACCCCAGGCCTTGCAAATCAGAGGAGCAGAGCCCAAACTCCTCCCAACACAAACCCATCCAGGCACAGCGGGTGCTCACAGACTGCAGTGGCCACTATCTGTCTCTCTCCCCGCTGGGGACAAGGGCCTGGCTCCCCACCCTGTCCCCTGAATGTGGGAAGCTGGCATGTATTCAAGAAAAGACCCAGGCTGGGCCCTGGGAATCCACATGCTGTCTCAACCACTCCGGACCGGTTTCCTTATCTGTTACACGAGAAGCTTGAATTAGATAGTCTAGAGGCCCTAAGATCTAAAACAAACACAATTCTGTAATGTTATTACAGCCACCCAAAGCCCTTTTCCAAAGACAGAGCTGTGATGGGGAAGGCAGGCCCATGGGTTCTGTGGAGGGCAAGGCCGCGGGGTGGACAGTGCCCTTGATGCAGTCCCCGCTTCTCTGAGGCTCCGGCCCAGGCCACACCCCAACCCTTTTCTGCCCTCTCAGTGCCAGAGCTCTGCTCTTACAGTCAAGGCTCAGAGTGCAGAACAGCACAGAAGGAACTGGGATTCTTCTTCTCGAAAGAACCCAAGTGACTTTAGTTGGGACCTTATGTAAAGCAAAGGGACTGGACTAGACAAGCGTGTCCTCTGCTCTCCAGAGTCTCCTTCAGCAACAGACGTGAGCCCTGGGGTCAGTTCCAGAGCCCGCGTGGCTGGTGCTCGCCGACACCCGACTGGGAAGGGAAGAGCAGCCGACCAGAGCCACAATCACAGGGTCTCGGCTATATCCTTCCAGGGACTGTCACTGCCATCAGCCACAGACCAAAGACTAGGAGTAAACACACTGTTTTAAAGAGCTTTTCTGATGGGCATGGTGGCTCACGCCTATAATCCCAGCACTTTGGAAGCCTGGGATGGGTAGAGCACTTAAGGCCAGGAGTTCAAGACCAGCCTGGCCAACACGGTGAAACCCCATCTCTACTAAAAATACAAAAATTACTGGGCGTGGTGGCTCAAATCTGTAATCCAGGACTTTGGGAGGCTGACAGGGGCGGATCATGAGGTCAAGAGACTGAGACTAGTCCTGGCCAACAAGGTGAAACCCCGTCTCTACCAAAAAATACAAAAATTAGCTGGGCATACTGGCATGTGCCTACAGTCCCAGATTCTTGGGAGGCTTAGGCAGGAGAATCGCTTGAACCCAGGAGGTGGAGGTTGCAGTGAGCCCAGATCGTGCCACTGCACTCCAGCCTGGGCGACAGAGCAAGACTCCATCTCAATAAATAAATAAATAAATACAAAAATTAGCCAGGTGTGGCAGCGCACACCTATAGTCCCAGTTACTCAGAAGGCTGAGGCAGGAGAATCACTTGAACCCAGGAGGCGAAGGCAACAATGAGCCAAGATCATATCACTGCACTTCAGCCTGGCGACAGAGCAAGACTCCCATCTCAGAAAAAAAAAAAAAAACTTTCCCCAAAATCTTCCACCCTTAAACTTTCTATATTCCTTCCCAAGTAGCCAGTTAGCAAGCTCAGCAGAACAATTTAAGTCACAAAATTCAGTAACTTTATAAAGAAGAAAAGTTGCAGGCTTCATTAACAGTCCTTACCTGAAAATTTCCAGTGTCAACTCGATACTGGTACATTGGATCGTGTAATTCATTAACTCTAAAAATGGACATTATAAATAATTACAGATTAATAACTACCTTTACTTTTTACTTTACATTTCTTCGCATTGACTTTTTAGGGTTTTTTACTTATTAACATAAGCTACTTGCTACCAATAGTAAAGCATTTTTAGAAAGCAATCCTAAATTTATGAGAAATCCTGAATTTCGTATTTCACATGGAAAAAGCATACAATCCTACCAACTGTCCACACTTACCAGTATTGGAAAGTTGCAGTATTTTTTATTACACAAGACCCTGTACTATTTCTCTTGCAGTTTTAAAAGCTGCTTTTCCAGTCACCTTTTTAATGGCACATACAGGTACTAGGAAATACACAAGTAAGCAAAGAGAGCAATAAAAACAAATAGAAACTTCCATGAGATTAATTTTCAAAATCAAAATAGGTTGCTAAGATGGCAGGGACTCAGGGACAGGGGACTGGAGCAGATGGGGTGACGCACTGCTGTCGCTTGGGTGACTGCGGCATGAAACCAGGCACGCTGGGCTCTGAAGTCCCACCTGGAAATGGAACTACTCTGCAGAAGTCCTATTCATGCGAGCCAGGCTGCTGCCACGCTAGGTTTCTGCTGTGAGGCCATCTTACAGGACAGGAACACTGAGGAAGATCGAGTATGGGAGCGGGCATAGGGGCCTGACGGTCTGTAGATGCAGCAGAGCGTCGGTGGACGGCGGAGAGCCGGGAGCCACCTGAGATTCACGCCTACAACAATGTCTCCTCTCTCTACAGGAGACATCTAAAACGACACGTTCTTTTTTATTTTCCATCTTAGACCAGTAGAATAGTGGATTCTCCACAAGCCATTTAAGCAAAAACAAATGTGCCAGTTCAAGTCATACGGCTGTCCCCCCGTCTGTGGTTTCGCTTTCAGCAGCTGCAGGTAACCAAGATCAAATGCAGTCAGAAAACATTCTCTTCCAGAAAAGAGCAGCTCCTAAGTGTTAAATTGCATGCCAATTTGACAGCATGGTAACAGCTAGCACAATGCACCCAGGGGCATGCGCCACCCCTTTGTCCTGTGTACCTCGCTGCATACACGGCTCGCCTGTTAGTCATCCACATCATCTGCTCCTGACACACAGCCACCGACACTGTCACGGCTACGTGACCCTCCTGACACGTCACAGGAAGCTCAGGAGCAGCCTAGCGCTACATCATAATGCCTACACCATTCCCCTCGCTCATCCCACACGCAGAGATCGGATCATCTCACATCATCAGAAAAGCACAGGACAGTAAGATATTTTGAAAGAGAGAGCATGTCACGTAACTTATACTGTTACAGTTTTTCTATTTTATTAGTTACTACTGGCCTAACATAATCTTTATCATAGGAGTGTATATATAGAGGAAAACCTACCGGCGGGGTGCGCACTGGGGAAGTCAGAGTGGTCTCATCTTGGGTGGAGGTCGGACCGAGTGGGGCAGCCAGGTGGGCTGTCCAGAGGCAGCCTTTGGGGGTGCCGCTGGCTCATAGGGGCAGCTTGGGCCCCTTGCAGCCAGAGCTGGTAGGCGGGCTGTGGGAGCCCATGGATCCAGCAGCCATGTGTGGACCTTAAAGCACCTTGCGGGCTTTGGAAGCGCTTTGACAGCTCTGAAAAGCTTTTTATTGCAAACTAAATTGAAGCGCTTTGTAGCCTCCAATTAGGCGATTAGGCATCTCTGAAGTAGCCTATGCAAACAGAAGAACTTGGTGACCTCAGAAACACACTGTGAGCTTGGAAACTGAAGCAAAGTCTTTAGTAAATACCAGGTCATTGTGACTTTTCCGAAGCACCCTGGCATCTCTGAGACCTTGAGCACTGTGATGGGCGGTGGGGAGAAGAGGGAAAGGTGTCCACGGCGTTGGAGTGGCGAGAGATCAAGTACCACTGGAGCAGCACGTGGGAAGAAGTCCCAGCAAGCACAGCTGCCTCCAGGAGATTTGGCCCCGCCAGCCGGCCAGCTCATAGCTCTGTGTTGTTCAGGAGGGGCCGGCAGCCCCAAGCACCTGAGCACCCAGGACAAGGAGGATTGTGACTTGCTCTCCAAGGTTATCCTGGGGCTCATCCCGTCGCAGAAATGACTCCTCCTCTTCCTTGATACTGCAGGAGCACCGTCGTCTCAGACAAACACTGCCACTTTTAAGTTCCAGGTCCCTTTCTAGCCTCATGCATTTCAAGGAAAGCACTTCTCTTCTGACAACAAGCAGCCAGAAAGAGCAGACAGTGAAACACAAATAAGCTGGGCACAGAGAAGGCAAAGTCTCTTGGGTGACCACCAAACTTCACACTCACACAACGGGCCCAAGTAAAACAGTGGGCCCTAATAAGCTCATTCCTTTCCCTTTATATGTACTAAGATAGGGAAGCTAAAAGCAGATTGGGGGGCGGGGGGTACGCCTGCAGCTGCAGGAAGATGTATGGGAACAGACACACAACTTTCCCTCCCAGATAAGCAAAACACAGACACAGAAACAATCGAGCCTGTGATAAGCTCTCCTGACCTGAACCCTTAAATACAGTTAGTCTGTAAGAGAGAGTGCCTCTAACCTAACTTGGCCAGAAGCCCCTCAGGTTTATTCTCCAAAATAAACCTGTGTTTGACTATTGAGCCACTTATTTCTTTCCTGTGTTTAACTCTTAAGCTCTTACCCCACATTCCTCCGGTACAGGTGTGGGCGGGACAACCATCACAGGCTGCCTGATTCAGAGCACTTTGGGTTCCTTCTGTCAGGGAGAACCCTTCCACATTCTGCCAACACCTCTCCAGAAGCAGCTTCTCCAGAAAAGGAAGCCTGAAATTTAAGGGTGATTCCAAAGATCTCATAGCTCCACAAACTCTCAATTTGCAGCTGAAGCTGAGGGTCAGGATAATATGACTGAGGAACCCAACAAGGTCCAGAAAAAGAAGAGGGACAGACTTTGAGATCAGGGCTCCGCATGGTCCACCTGAAGGCTGACCAGGGCATCCAGGGAAAATCGAGACCAAAAAGTCAATGAGAGGCTGTCACTAGGGCAAAACCAAGCACAGCAGAGTGTCCCAGCTTTGGAGAAAGACCAGCTAGGAATGAAGGAACAGGCAAGACTGAGAAGGAACCACCAAGAGTGTCACAGTCACCCGTGCTCAGAAGGACCAAGAGTCAGTCCCAGCGGGGAGTGGAGGAGGACCAGCCTATGCCAGAGAGGAGCAGCTTCCATGACTGATGGTAGCTACAGACCCTCAGACCAGACCCAGTGAGGAGCCGCCTGGGGACCAAAGGACAGCCATTGATAAATGCTCTCCAGCCCTAGTTTATTGATGACTCTCTCATTTAGAAATCCAAGTGTAAAGGCAGGGAGGTGGTGATGGAGCACCCCTCTTCAGGAAGCAACTGGTCTGATGTGGAGATTTCCATGGTCAGATTCTCTGAGGAGGAACTCGTCTCGCTCAAATCCTCGGCCGTTCCGGAGCCTTCTTCTCTCATCACTGTGTCATGTACCCGCCTCATCTGCACAGTAGTCCTCGGCATGTGTGGCAGCTGGTGCACCAGCGGCCCCAAGCCTTCCGGCTACTCCTCTGTGGGCAGCAGTGACGACCCAGCATGGGCTGGGAGGAGCAGCCAGAACTGCCTGGTGATTCCCCCGACTCTGCAGTGAGTTCCCAAAATACCTCCAGAGTTGAGGAGGCCTCAGAGGAGGCAGGTCCCATAATCCTCATCCATTTAACTTCTCCAGAAGCTTGGAAAAAAAAGAGGTGAAGGAGAAAAGAACATTTCAAGAGGAGATGCCACCGCATCCTTGTGGAGGACACACATCCAGCTTGCTGCCAAAGAACCACTGGAGCCAAGCCTAGAGGAGAGCTTCATAACACCCATTGTCACTTGGACATGCTGTATTCCTAGATTCCTTTCAAAAGGGTCTTACATTTGGTGCTGAACCCTGGGACGGGTGTTGGGGGCAGAGGCTCTCTTGAACCCAGGAAGCAGGGGGCAGCAGCAGCTCATCCCATGTTAACACCTGGATCCGGAGTGTCTCCGGCCACTCACCCCGTCTTTTCTCTCACTTCACTTTTCAAGTGATTTGTGTGAGTGGGACAACTAATCTGAAGGGGACTGCAAGGCTCAGGCCGGTCTACTCCCAGTGGGCTCTCAAACCCTCATGTTTCAGGAATCCACCTGTGACTGTCTGCAACAGGTATCTGCTCCCTATCCCTTGGTCCCTCTTCCCCCTTCTTCTTTCTCTCTCACCCACTCCCTTTCTCTTCCTCGCACGACTCCAGTCCAGGAGGCCCTCTGCCAATTCCATCCAACATCAGACAATCATTCAGCAGACTTAAGATCTGCCTTCTCCTTGCTTTCTCGTGGTACGTGAGAAAGTCCTGCCTGCCCTTTGGGTCCTCAGAGGACCACTGGGACTAAGCTAGAGGAAATCTTGGGGATGCCCTGTTTCTTCTCAGCTTAACTGTCCTCTTCAGAAAGAAGATTCCAGGTCTCCGTCTTTTTTTCTGGGAACAACTAACAGAAACAGACACCCTTGGCCTCCTCTCACCATTCTACATGGGTGCCAAGCAATCCCACATTCCTATGTCCCCTTCACTGGGCTGGCTCCTTCACAGCCTCACCAAACTTGGATCACAGGGAAGCCTAAAGCCAAAGCACTTAGATTTGTATTGTAACCCGGTCTGGCTCCAAAACAAACTAGATAATGACAGCTGATGGCCTAAAAACGGGCATCCCCAAGATTTAACATTCACATTCTCAGGGACCCAGGCAATTTTATCACCAGGAACAGCAACTGGCAAGAGGTTCCCTATATTCAGGCTTTCTTTTACCCTCCCTAGGTCAAGCCTCCACCCCTCGTGACATTCTTTAAAAAAAAAAAAAAAGAAAAAAAAAACTTCCCTGGGTCTCTCCTTCCTCCAAAACCCCTCCTGACCCTGCAGATGGAAACCCCTCCACACTCAAAACTGCACAACTACATGGAAACTGGACAACCTGCTCCTAAATGACTACTAG